ACTACCACTACCATGACCACTACCACCACTACTACTACTACTACCACCACTACTACTACTACTACTACTACTTCTGCTTCTACTGCTGCTACTACTACTACTACTACTACACTTACTACTACTACTACTACTACTACTACGACGACCACTGCTACTACCACTACCATTACCATTACCACTACTACTACTACGACGACGACGACTACAAGTACAAGTGCAACTACAAGTACAACTACAAGTACAAGTACCAACTACTACTATTGCTACTACTACTACTACTACTACTACTCCTACTCCTACTCCTACTCCTACTCCTACTCCTGCTGCTGCTGCAAAAGCTGCTGCTGCTGGTGCTGGCTTTGGTTCTTGATGTTGCTGCTGTAGATTTACGGCTCTTCCGCAAGGCCGGTCGCCAAGTTCGTCTTTGGAGGGGCCAATGTGATGGTGGCGCTCCTGCGCTTCAGAGCCGGTTTTCAGGGGTGGATCTTGTCATGGTCTTTTCGTGCCGTCTCGTGAGGCTCCTGGCATTCTACGCATAGTGCCTCCTGAAGGAAGCCGCGTCGTCAGCTGGAGCCTTGATTGCTTCGCGCTGACGATGCCTTGCTTCGAGGTGAGGTGCTGCCCAGAGAGGGCAACCTCGTTGCTGTGCGCGCGGAAGGCATGAGTGGATGTGAGCTTTTGGGATCTGACACTTTGATGGGGCTCTCTCAGGAAATCCTGCTGCTTGTGCGGTGGGTCGACTGCGACTACCAGCTGCAGCAGTAGGTGCTGGAACCAAGCCGTGGGCTTATTTGAGACTATTCAATCCACGCTGAAAGATGGAAATGTTTTCGGGATGCGAACGATGTTGAGTCTATAGACGGAAGAGATGTGGGGAAAGCGGAAGAAAGCAGATCGACAAATATTTGGTAGACAGCAGGGTTCAGCCATTTTTCTGGGAAGGGGCGAAGCCGTCGAAGTCCTGCATTACTTCGGCGATGCTTTGTGGGAGGCCGCTGCTGAGTTTTGCAACATGTGCCAACTTGAACTCCACGAAACAGATGCGATTATATGGAACCATTGAGAAGATAGTACTGTGGTAAGCATGATAATCAGTGCACGTGTCATTATGATTGTGTTTTGCTTTATTCCTAACGTTGTGATGGTGTCTACTATAACTGCTGTTATGAGTTATGACTGCTATGGTTACCCGAAGACAAAAACTACGAACATGGCCAAGCAACATCTTGATGCATTGAGTTATAGCGGTCATTGCCACTGCTTTTCTTCCGGGTTGCTACGTGTCTTGTCATTAGTGTTCGTGCTTGACTTGCGCCTATTATTGATCAAACGTCCCTGCATCTTGTTGAATCAATGCATGCAGAGGCATAGCCGTTTTAGATAGGAGCCACCCGTTGTGATTCCATCGTTGTCGCATTGTACTAGTAGCGGCAGTTTTTGCAAGTCTGCTTTGCTGAAGACATGAATCTAATTTGTAAACAGTACAAGAAGGGGACGGGTTTGCCGGAACAAGCCGGTAGCATTATTCAATGACTCGTCCTTTCAGGGACGGGTCGTCTTCAGCCCGGGTCGTCTATCAGCCCCCCCAGCATCGGTTGTGTTCGATTCGTTCAGTTACTCTGAAAGCAGCTCCACACTTGCTTGTGGGTTCTTCGGACAAGCTCGCAAAGACGAAGATACGGAATCAGTGTTGTGGCACAACTTTAGTGGTGTTATACTACTTTCCTGGGCGAAGTAGATCGAACCTTCAAGTTGTCGAGCACTTCCTACTAGTCTCTAGTAGAGGCTGTAGACACCCACGCCCTTCCCAGACGTTGGACGCGGCCAACACAACGGTGCATTCTAAGTATTACCTTTAAGTTCAACAGTGTACAAGTTCGTGTCTTTGCTATTGTCAATCTTGATTGCTTTTGCAGTTGCCACAGGTTTTGTCATGCTGGTGAGGACTGTTAATGCCATGGGTGTTCGTATCTGCATTGAAAGTAGCTTGCTTTGCCACCAGTATCATAGCTGTATATGAACTGGTAGTGCCATAGTGCCACGAGAAAATCAAAACGCAACATCCAGAGCACCAAGCCGCCACCACCACCAGCGACAGCAACAGCGACAGCAACAGCGGCAGCAACAGCGACAGCAACAGCAAC